AAAAAAAAAAAAAAAAACGTGCTGTAATTTATCACTGAATAAATTTCCATACCAAGTAAAGAAATAATGTGATTACTTTGATAAATGGTTTTAGATTACATCAAATCAGCAGGATGTTTACCAGTTTAGACTGTAGCTCCAGCAGCTTCCTGACTCTGAACACTCGCACTGCAACGATAAAATGAAGCAGATATTAAAGCTCAGAGAGGCAGTGAGAACACTAAAGACAGGAAATAATGGAATAAGAAAAAAACAGGGGACAATGTCTGTTCATAATATGTGGATCATATTTGAGGTGTGAAAATATTCGGCTTACCACTTTCCTTTCTGGTCAAAAGGTACAACAGATGGCAGATAAAAGGGCACTGAAAAGATGTGACACAATAATTAATTTCCTCTCTACTGCAACAGCAGACAACATGTGACTACTGACAGAGAAAGAACAGGACATGTTCCAATATGCAGTTTTACTGAGGTATGTGAAGACTCTAGCAATAAAATCCAGATTATACTTGTTAATTTTCACAAGTGGATTTTTCCTTTTAGCAGCATAGTTATACTGACAATTTGGTAGGTCTGCTTCCTGAAACAGCAGGATTGTGCTCATAAATAACTCACGGTCTTTCCTTCATATAATCACACAATGTCTCGTTTCAGTCTTGTTTCACAAGACAGCTCTGGTATACAGAGATAATGTAATTTAAATGAAAAATAAGCCTAGTGAGTCCCATATCTATTACTTAAAGACATGTATGAATAAAAAAAAATAAGAATTAGATTTGATGTCAATGTCTCATTACAACAATACAAAGATCACCAGCACACATACCAGATTTTCTTCTGTGACGTAGCTGAAGATGAAGCCGTAAACAGCTCGAAGCTGGTCCTTTGTGTCGATCATGTCAAATACGGTTAAAACCCATTTTATGAAAAGAACCTGAAAATTACACATGAATGTTAAGACAATAAAAAGATTAACTACGATACAATCTGACCAATGACACAGAATTAAAATCCACTAACTCATCTCAAATATTGTATAATTTCAAATATTTTCTAAAAACTAAAAGGAACACATTTTTTGTAATATTTTATTAACTGACTTATTTGCTTGATAAAGACAGAATGGAGAGCAGGAGCAGTCTTTAATCATTATAAATTATTTCAAAATGGTAAATGATCCAAATTTATAATTAGGTAATTAGAACAATGAATGTTTTTTGGTAATAACAGCTTGATTGTCCAAAAAGCTGAAGTAAATGCGAAATAAAAGAAGCAATTGAGATCACAGTTTAACCTTGAAGTTTTAAAGTCTTTAAGTGCAAATAATAGTTTTTTTGTATTTACCTGAGTGCTGATGGGTATTTTTCCAACACCCAGCCAAACCACTGCTCGAACAACGGCCTCTTGTGGCACCACAGTGGCAGGAATCAGACACTTGAGCACTCGCACACATGGACTGCTCCCTGCACGGAAAATTCACAGAAACAAATCATGTTAAAATGAAGCAAATGCTGACTTAGAAAACAAAACTTGCTGTTCAAAAACCACATTTTCTGCTGTGTAAAGGTGTCCCAACACTTTTGGGAAGAATGAAAGACAGTGTTTGTGTGATATGTTTGAACTGTGTAAAAAATGTGTACTCACATCACACCAATACTGCACAATCAATATTATCTTATTATGTAATTCCAGAATTCTTCTAAATTAGCCAGCACTAAGGCACGACTTCCAGATGGCATTACATTTTGAACACCCACAGTGGCTCAGTGGTTAACTGCCTCAAAGGAAGAGGCAGTTTGTCTGTGTGGAAGAGTGTGGCAGTTGTTATTCCTGTGATAAACTCACTGCCTGTTTTAGGAGTACACTTGCAACTCAAAGAACAAAGAAGATGGAATTATAGGTTTATTTACATTGCAGCTGGCTTACAGTTACAAGCACATTCTTCTAGTTAGAAATTCCACATTTAGAGCCAGTCCACAGCTTCTGCAGAGTGACCAACTTACCCATACGGAGGCTCATGGCAAACTCCAGCATAACGGATATGGCCTCTGGGGAAAGTCCCTTACTGTAGGCCACCTTCTCCACCAGCACCAGGTTCCTCTCAAAGTCATCATTCCCATACACAGGAGTACCAGCCTCAACTGCAGGAGAAAGACGTGACGTCACATCACAGCGTGTATGTGTTTTTAAAAATGGTAAAATGATTGCACAGTTTGACTCAAATAAAAGGTAATATCAACTTTGATGTTAGGCAACATGACAGTAGATGAACTTGTGCTGTACAAACTACATGCTACCACAACTGTTAATATTTTTACCACAGAAATACGGTTTGTTTCTTATGGCATCATTGTAAAGATATAGATGGGGTATTTAAAAGTTACCCTCATGGTTCAGATGGTGAACAAATTTTAATACATCTTTACTGGGTGCATGCTACAGTATATGTGTGTGACATGATGGCATAAGTGTCTTTATTTATGGAAATAAGTAAATAGACAAAAATATGTAGTAACTGAAATGTCGTTGAAATAATCACTATGTTTGACCTGGTTACGTATTTGTGTGGGGAAAAAATAAAAGCAAATGTACATCTGTTTGCTAGGATGTCCAATCCTGGACCTTTAACTGAGAGAAAAAGAGTAGCGGGTTGACAAAATGTTTTCAAGTTGAATGATGTCCCAACAGATCTCTACACCACCAATGTCAGCTGTTACAGCTATACGATTACTATCTGAGATCCAAGAGACAGCTGGTGTGGAAGAGAAAGCCTGAATAAAAAATTAATGGGTGGTTTCACTGATATGGACCTTATTGATGTTCATCTTGATGATCAACTGTGAACACTTCTGTAAAACAGCGATCTCAAAGAAAACATGAGCATGAACAGAAAGGGCAAAATCAGTCTCCACAATCACAGAAATGTTAAGACCCTTAGATATCAAAGAAGTTAGGCCATAGTTATCCAAAATACAACACAGTTTTTCAACTAGCCAAAGTCAGAGCAGATAACAGACCGCAGTTCAGTAAAACATTGAAAATGTTTGCACAATACTTCGGGGCTTATGGATGTTTAAGAATTAGACTCAATAGGAGAAATGAAACTGAAGAGCAAAATATTAAAGGTAGCAAGATATTCAAAAAATAACAATTTGCTGGAAATAAATATGGAAAAAAAACTGCTTAAAAAAAGGCACCTTTGCTTAATAATTAAATATGATAAAAAATTAAAGTCAACCTGCTAATGTCACAGATTTAGTCATTTAACTCTGAAAATGGGTCCACACTTACAGTGTCAACAGATAGGCTTGAGCCTATATACTGTAAAGTACATGACTGAGTAGTGTTTAATAACTGCGTCTGTGTTTGTACACAACGCTGGCTCTGTCAGATCGTAACTTAGCATCATTAGTCATCTGTAAATGCGCTTCACATGATAGGCGCGTGAGTTAAAATAAAGTTTTTGGCGATTTAATCTCATTGTAAAAATTTAAAATACAAAAAAACAAAAAATTGAATCCTAAAAGATTATTGCAAAACTGTGGATTTATTTATTTAAATCCATCAGCTTCATTAAAAAAAACTAAAAGATTTTAAATAAGTCAGTGGGGAGGGAGGTGGCCGGGGGCAGCCATCTTTGTTTTGGTTCTTGATTGAATGTTTTACAGTGGACCGAATATTGTTTCCCCACACGTTTTTACGAGTCTTCATGGATACTAATGCGACATCTCAAGTGTCCAAAGTGCTTTTACACGACACATCGCCGCCTAACTAACTTTTGGAGAAGCGACGGTTTGATACGTAACAAAGCCCCGAAAGTAAGCTAATACATGAGAGGCATTAGGTAGCGCTACGTTAGTTACACCACCGATTCATAAGAAAGTAACGTAATAGCTCGAAGCTCGTTGCACTTTTTGTTTGTAGCCCTCCTCGTTTCTCGCCATCTATTTTACTTTGTTGTTTAGATCCAGTACAATTAGTAGTGTAACCGCTGATATCAGTAACGCCACCATCTGCTGGCGACCCGGGTCGTTAGCGTCCCAGTCCTACCGTCAGTGAAGTACTTGAGGGCCAGAACAAATGGGTCCTCCGCCTCGTTCTTCCTTCTCTCCTTCTCCGCGACTCTCAGACTCCTGTTGCTGCTTCGACTGGACACAGACTGGTCGTTTGGAGACGAGCGCTCTGAATCCGACAGGTTTATTGTCGCTGCCATTTCTACATTGCTAAAACTTAAAAACACCGAGCTCCTCTCTGTCGTCAGCCATTCAAACAAAACTCAAATCATCCGCGCGACCGTTTGCGCTTGCGCAGTACCCATATCCGCTCGGCTGCTGCACGGGAATTGTAGTCTTTTTTTATGTTTTTGGTCGCACAAAAATTGAGTCACTGAACTACAACAATCAAGTAGCTGTGCGTCTGGGTGCAAATGTGTTGTTTTGTGAGAGGGTTCGTCGTCGAATAAACATAAAACTGGTAAGTGCTTTCTAAAAAAATAAAGAAATATGGTACCAAACACGCAAGGGGCATGTCAAATGACTAAACGGCCCCTTGCAGCATAATAAGTAGCTGAAACTGAACAGGGTTGCACTTAATCTTTGTTGTGGTTTTATTTACCCAAGTTTTAAAATGCCACTGTAATATTTTAAAATAAAACTTGTGGGTGTAATTATAGATCATCACCTCTCCTGGAAATGCCACACAGCTTACATAAAAGCAAAGATGTCTACTTCTTTTTTGTTTAAGAGTTAGAAATGATGGCACTTTAAATGTTGTGTAATTTCCCGTACTTTAGTTCAGAGGTCAGAGATTAAGCTTACTGGGTCAGTTTTTTCCAACATTGTTCAATGTCAGGCTACTTTAGCTTTATTGAGGCAGATATCTGTTGTATGTTGTAGATTAGAATCCTTTCTTATTTACACTGGTGTTGGGGACAGTAAATGTATGCAGATGGCTATCGAGCTAATGTTGCTTTTGTGTGTTTTAGATGCAGAGTCTTGCTTGTTCTTAAATTTTGCAAGGTCAGATTTTTTGAGACTACACAAGTCCTGAAATTCCGTTTTTTTTTTGTGTGTTTTTTGTTTAGAGCCAAATCATGGAAAATATGGAAAGGTTTACATGTAAGCTACTGTGGGGCCAAATATTTTATTCACAGGACCTATTGGTGTGTCTCTGCATTAGTTACCAGGTAGAGTTGTGGAGTCACACATGTGCAAGTGATATAAGTGATTAATACAGTACAGCAAAGACCACCTTCCCGAAGGTAGCGATGTTTAGAGTGAAAAACAGGTTAGTGCCTGAACATTTACAGAGACTGTGTTTTAGTAGTTGGTATGAGCTACATTAAGGCATGTGTGTTTTTAGATTTTAAAAAATGTCAATGCTCTGAACGAAGCAAATGAAATTAAGTTTAGATAATCTTTACCAGAGTCAGAAATCTTTTGACCTGCAACTAACAATTATGTTTATTATCTCTTAATTTTTGGATTATATTTTTTGATTATTGTCTTTAAAATGTCATAAATTTGTACAAATGTATATCCCAAGTTCCCAGAGTCCATGTTCACGTCGGCTTTCCAAAAACCCAGAAGTCAAAAACATTCAGTTTTCTATCAGAGACTAAGAACAATAACTATTGCATTTATGACCCTGAAATCACTTGAATTTCTTTAAACAATCTCTGTTGTCAGTTTATTAACTGACTTATGTGGAATATCTCATAATCTGGCAAAATAAAACTATAATAAAACTATAAAACAAATCAAAACTTCACCACACCAAATTTTCAAAAGGGCCAGGGAGGCTTTCATGTTGGTGAAAGTGTTCTGCAACAATCGCAATAATGATTTGCTCTTTGAGGAGTGCAAAATTCATGATTTCAAATGGTGGTTATTGCCTGTTAGCTTTCGCTCAAAACTGTTACTCACATCCTGTCCGGTTTCCATGCCACAGGGGCGAGAAGCAGGAACATAATCCCTCCACTAGCCTCGGGTACAAAAGATAGACAGAGAGACCCCTTGTGTGTCAGTTGTGCTGTTTGTCCCCTGCGACATACCATGAGCCCAGTCGTTTTGTGCCTACGTGGGGTCAGTGTTAGAGGTGGGTTTTGCTGTAATGTAGGGAATGATGCCAAGCACTTCGTATATGGGTGGTGTGTAGCTACTATGCTGATATGAAGGAATGACCTTGATATGGACTGACTGAAGTTATATAACAAGATTAAAACACAAAAATCCTATAACACCATCGAGCTTTGCCAAATTTAAGGTTAAGCTTGGATTTAATGAAATGCAAACGCGCTAATAATTTTAAAAAAAAAGTCAGTCTCACCTCCAGTTCTTTATTGTAAGTATATCATTTACAGAAATATTGTGAATCTTAAAATTGACGGCATTATTAACTGCAGTAGGAATGCTTTTCATATCTTCAGAGGGAAAAAGTAAAACCAAGCCAATGAGCAGAATTTAAGACTTCAGCTGTGAATTACAAATGTTAAAATTCAAATTTAAAACAGGCAAAAAGACCGTTTGGGTTTGGTTATGTTCTGCTGTCAGAGTAAGCAGCAGACGCCCAAGGCCACTACTGCTGTCCTTTCCACCTAAACAAATTCACTGTGATAACTGGAAGGAGAAAGAGGATATTTAGCTTATTTTACTTCAGGATAAAAGGATGTCATGCGTACTTCTGCAAAAATTTACTGAAATGAGAAATGAATGAGGATTTATGTTTTTTCTTCCTAAGACAGCCTTCTGGTAAAACTGCACCAAAATAAGATGTGGATATGTATTACTAGTTGATGTATAATTAGTACAAAATTCTTTCAACAGTGCTCATTTGGTTTATGTTCCGTACTCTTGACCAAACCAGACATGCTTGAAATTCATTAATTATCAACCCTTTCCTACCTACAGTATAAAAACAAATTAGAAAAACAAGCTACAAAGATTCTTTCATGAAAAACAGCATTCTCAAATCAACTCAGAACATAAATGGTAATTCACAGTAGAAGAAAAACACAAACACATTTAACACAGTGTAGGGCTAAAATAAATAAGGGGAATTGACTAGTGTGACAGCGAGCTGAGCTCATCAGAGTATCCACAGGTACGATTGTCCACGGTTATGTAGAGGATGTATGGATCAGGAGTTCTCAGTTTCACAGTAGTGCAGAGGAGTAGGTGAGAGTAGTCAGTCAGCCAGCTGGATGGGACAGAGGATGTGTGTGAGGGGTATTATTATTACTAGGAGGAACTGTTTCCCTTCAAAAATGTAATTACTGCAATCCATAGAGGCGCACCGGGTTCCCTTCGATGTGGCTTGGACCCAAGTAGAAGAAGATCTTTAAGACTGCTTGACCTTGTTCTTTTCCTGATCATTAATGTGCTGTTCCTCTCTGCTGTCCTCTCTCTCCGGCCGGTCATCACTCTGGCGGGCAATAAGCAGTCGGCAGGTGAGCAGAATACCAAAGACTAAAGCGTGGGCGTACCGTTTCAGGGGGTCTCCTACTAGCTGGTGGAAGAACAGGACGGCCAGCATGACCAGCAGCAGCAAGAAGTTGGCCACGTCCTTCGGCCTGCCCGGCACAAGGGTGAGCACCACACCACAGCCAACCTCCAGAGAGCCGATGATCTTACGGAGCAGGACCGAGCTGATCCCAATTTTTTTCAGGCCTGGCAATGCCTTGGCATAGCTCTTGTATGCCCTTTTCTGAAATGAGAAATACAGAGGTCTTTTTAAAACACAGGTCCACAAAATTCAGCATGTATCTTTTAGTTAGGCCATTTCAGGGCCATCTAAGGTCAGCAAGCGGAGCGTTTGACATCCAAATGCATCCATAGTGTATCATCACTGTGGCTGCATAAGTCGTTTTCAGCTTAGTGCTCCCTGGCTCAAGAAAACATAGAAATGTAGATACATTTGATGAGAAAAATATCCCCAGAGTTTGCTAGTTTGGATTCATTAAACCTTTATGCATGGCATCATCATCTTCATATATCAACATCAGCACCCGCAGGTGCATCTCTCAGAAATTGCTGGAATGCGCCGCCATTGCTCTTCAGCTGCTAAGTTGCTCTTCTTCTGATGCGAGCAGCTGAGCAGCTACAACACATTGAGCAAGCTATAAAGAGCAAGCTACCACCTCCATATCTGTCCGTTATCCTGCATATATGTCTGCATCTTTAAATTAGAGCATCTCTTATGAAAATGTGTCTTCATTCATTCATTATTCATCCCTGTTTCGGCGTTAACCGTCAAATGGCAAACTAATTTTAGTTGTTTTATGTATCCAGACTGATTAATGGATGTGCCCTGTGTTTAATATTAAAATATTTTTAAGTTTAATATACAGGGTTAGCCTATGTGCTAATTGTGTGATTACATTCAGCACAGCTGGGCTAAATATTTTATATAACCTCACAGGATTCTCACAGGAATAATGCATCACACAGGCAGATTAGAGGAGCCAATCGGTATCGAATGCATTCATTTTCCGTATCTATTACTATTTAGGTCAGCGTCTCCACTCATTATTCGCGCCTGCAGAAACTGCATCCAACACAGAACAATGGCCTTTAGCCCCTCAGTTGCGGACACTTGATGGGTAACGTTCAGCGCTACTCACCATTTCACTGTACGCGTCTTTGCTTAGTCTCGGAGTGAGCTTAATGGTCCCCATAAATACGAAAAATAAACCCAGAGCGAAAGAAAGAGCCACAATGGTAATTGTCCTTGGTGAGGCCATCTTTCTCCGCCGCGCTTCCCACTGAACTGAACGAGAGTGGGACCGCTTCCCGGCGAGCAGACACCAGGGGGATGGGCTTCTGGGGGAACCACAAAAATGGCGACGCGGTTCCTCTCTGCGCCGCATCAGGAGCAGGACGGAGCCGTTATCGTCCACTACTGAAACACAACTGAAATTATAGGTAGCGTCACTTCACTAATACATAACACGACACAACTAACAGTGCTACAAGGCTGTTTTAGGCACTAAATTGCCTCAAACTTTTAAAGGAAACCATTTTGTGAAATACACTTTCCAGAATAGAGGATGTGAAATTGGTTGCCAAGCAACCAGGAAAGACACCAGGATGTCCCTACGCCGAGGAAAAAAGTAATCCCACACACACAGCCACCATAAAACCATGAAATTGACACATTGGCACTTTCTACATGAACTCGTTAAAGAAATCAGATAAAACATGTTAATTAGAGCGCTTTGGAGGTGCAGGTAGGGGGAGTTTGTTAACTTTGGACAGAGCCATGCTAGCTGTTTTTACCTATTTTCAGTCTTTATGCTAAGCTAAGCTCAGAGCAGAAGGTTAATTTGGCCATTTGTTATATGCATTACGATCATATCTTACAATTTTTTTTATAGACTTTAAACCCTGATTTAAAAAAAAATATAGGAATCTGTAATATTAGACTCCCTTTTCCCACTTATATTAAGATGGATGGAAATTGTACACAGCCATCGGAGAGAAGCTAATCTGGAGCTATCAGTTTTTATCTCCCAGCGTCTCCAGTTTTGTGAAATATTTTGTTACAAAACAGACGAACCACAACAGAATGTAAATACAGTATGTGTTAAACACACTAAACAAGTTTCTTATGTAAATATACATTTAGAAAATTTGACCAATCAGTGTAGTCAAGCAACTGAATAGCCTGTTTGCTAAATCGTCATCTGACTATCTGGCACATTGTCCAGTATCTCCGTAATCCAACACTGAAGTTACAATTTTCCAACATACTCAAGGCAACCTTGAGTGTCAAAAATACTCCACAGATCATTGAGGTTCCTATAGGAGTGCCAGTTGAATCTTATACAAAGACAGGCATGTAGAAACAATGCCTGAGGCCAGTAGTCTCTTTGTCCACTAGGGTCCCGTGACGTAAATGTCTTCCCAGCTCCCTGTGTGGACGTCTACACGCAGCCCAAATATTATCCACGCGAGACTACGCTACAAGGACAGCAGTGTGTATATGTGGAATATGTAGACGTGGATTTACTGCACATGCATGGAACGTCCTGAAAGCAGATTAGAAAGTAGAACAATAGCATCAATTTCACATCCGTGGTGTCTGCAGCTGTTTGTGCGACGACCCACAAGGGAGCGTAATTAAAGCTTAACGCTGGCTGTTGAGACATTTGAAGGCCCTGACCCAGATGGTGTTTGTGCTTGTCCTAAAAACCAAAAACAACACCATCTATGCCTTCAGTAGTCATTCTTTGCAGCCGAATGAAGCCCTGAATAGCTGTCGGTTATGTTTAAAATGAGAATTCATCCTGCTCACTTTGGCCACACTCCCTCAGCTATGTCCTCCATAGACAGCAAATGTGATTATCCATATCGCTATCAGGGCTCCTCAGGTCATATCTTGTACTATTTGATTAGTTCGGTCTTGTTTTTTTAATTAGCCTAACAAACCTTGAATATTGGAACGTTACTGTAGATGATGGAAAGATCATAAATTCACCAGGGAGACACTACAGGCATTAACATAACTATTTATCACTATGAATTTACAGGGAAAACTCTTCATAAGGATAGAATATATGTTTATGTTTAGTCTATTTAACAATTTTTGTCATCACTAAACCCTATTACAACACAATCAATATTGATGAAACTGCAAAATCTCTCTGTGGAAGCCAGAACCTTTAGCACTGAGACTCAAATCTGTTACACCATCTGTTAAACCGTTTCTCCAGATACCAAAGTGTGTTGTGGAAAAATGCATGAAAAATTACAAAATAGCAAAAGCAGCACCTAAAAGTAGCAGCTTCTTATAGTAAACACACAGGAGAAGCCACGCAAGTATAGTGACAAAATGTTTATTATACAATTTCACATATCTGATCATCACTTCAGCAATGTCCCTGGCTTTTTCCAGTGTTGGAAAATGTCCAAACAATCATAAAAAAAAGGGAGTACAGTTCAAAAATCACGTTTCCCTTACATTCAAAACTGTATAGATTTATACAAATAAAAACCCCTTTAACATTTTGGCCAAGTACACAAGTTTATCTTCAACATATCTTTTTAGAAATTTTATATTATTGATGTTTTTAGTTTTTCTTTTTTTAATTTAAGTATTATTTAAACCTGCCCTTCACTACAATTTGGAATCTGCAGTTTCATTCCACATGTTCAGGGATCAGGTGGTCAGCCTACTGTACAGGAAGTAATATAGAAATAGTAGTTAGTGAAGTGATGTTGTGTAAAAGCTACTGCTGTGCACAACCAGGATTCACTCTCACTGCCCCTGATCCTGACGGTCCTTCAGAGCCTGGATCGCTTTTCGGTAAAGATCTGTCAGGAGACAGAATTGTTTCTTTAAGTTAAAGGTGTAATTTTATCATTTCACAGTCCGAAGTGTTACTGTATATAAATGATGGATAGAAAAAGAGGTGGATGAGTCTCACCAAAAGTAGCAGAAAGGTCCACAGGTTGAGAATAAGCTTCAGGCATCTCCTCTGTGTTGATCTTGTTTTTTCTTTTTACTTTCACAACTTTCTTCTTCTTCCTCTTTTCCCCTTTAGTTGGACATAAGATGAAACAATAATTAGATTTTTGTTTTCAAACAGTTGACAACCCAAAATAATGTAATTCCATTATTAACTGATGACAACCTTTCAGCGGCTTCTCGTCATTGTCAGGTGACTCCGGCACATCCAGAGTCTCTTCTTTCACTTTAGTTTTGCGTTTCAGTTTGCCTTTTTTCGGAGGGATCAGGGCGCTGCTGGCTCTGTCTCTGTGACTGGCGTTTTCTTGCTCTCCTTCGTTACCATCACCCTCCTCTTCCTCCTCTTGTTCGTTGGCCTGTTCTTGGTCTTTTTCACCTTCCTTGACCTTAACCTGCTTCTTCTTCTTCTTTGTCTTCAGCTTCTTTTTCAGCGTGGTCTCCTGAGAAAAGACATTCAGTTATTGTGAAGCTCAAATGTTTAACTTGTCATCACAGTAGAGAAACCATAGATGGAATTAATGATGTCTCAGTTCCATTAAGTGTCCCAGTATGCAATGACGGTGAAATGTCATGGAGGATCTTCCCCAAATGGAATGCAGCCGTCATAACACGCCTTTACTTTCCCTTCTGTCACAAGTCAAACTGACTGTCAGACTGTCTGAAAAAGATCTATCGACATTACTGCTGGAAAGAGGCTGAGATACAGACAGTAGACGGGTTCTATGTAAAGCTGCATCTATTAATCTATTAGCCACTTTATAGAACATCAATCAGCAGCAATATTAATAACGCATAACTAACTTATTCCATCTTCTCCAGTGAGAATATTTGTTGGTTCTCTGAACCTTCTGTGATTAAACAGAATATCTTTCAGCTTCAGCTCATATGTCGGACCATACAAGATTTGAAGACTTTGAAATCACCGTCTTGGGATCTGCAAAGCTGAGATCGGCCGTTTATTAAACTATTTATTAGATCACTGGACTAATTTGGTTAATTGAAAAATAAGTGCCAGATTAATGGAGAATGAAAATAATTGTTAGTCGCAGCAGGCCTAGTGAGGTGAATTACAAACAAAAATTATACAAACAAATTATTATAGTGGATCAATGACATCTATCTGTAGAAACACACACCCCATTAGCACTCTATTAGGCACACCTATACAGGTAAAACCAAACCTGAGTTCAACTCCACTGCAATCTACAACCTCAGTAAGACAATTTTAGAAAATGTCATTGGACTGTACATCTTTTTTCAGATGCGGATGCTGGATGATTTCCTGACCTTTTGCAGCATGTTCCGAATAGGTTGCAGCTTTCCCTCCACCTTGGTCTTTTTCTCCTTGTCTTTGGGCCGATGAACCTGACGGAGGTCCGACTTGCTGGATCGAATTCTGAGGTGAGAGAATATTTGACATCAAGGTTCAGTGTCTAGCTCAGAGTAATTGGTGTTTTTTGCTAAAGTTGATGCTCTCATGTGCCATTTTTGAGCTATGAGTCCTCTAAATATAAAGGCCTCTCTTACCGTTCCACTTTGGGTTTTTTGCGCACTTTCTCTGCTTTTCCGATCTTCTCTCTCTCTCGTGCCTCCAGAGGCCTCTTGCTGTCCTGGGCTACTCGAGTGCAGAGCTCTGGGTAATCCAGGCAAACAGCACGCAGCAGCCAGCGAAGGCCTCGCAGAGTCTTTCTGTCTGACCAGCGTCGCAGGTCCATTAAGGCTGAACAAGGCTCCTGAGCGGAAACACAAAAAAGGTAGGTTTCTCTGCAGGTGTCTTCAATTCTGTACTGCAGTTTTTCCTGCCGTCCACATTTTCTTTCAGCAGTAATGACTTTTAGAATAATACTTACAATATGGCACAGAGAGCGGCTCTGGTTGACCAGCTTCTCTAGAGACAGAATCTCAATCAGTTCACTTCCCAGCAAAGCGTTCATTTTATCCTGTTTGTTGGCCAACCTGAAAGCACATTACAGTCACCACACTTATCCTGCGAGTAGTGATTTCTGTATTTCCACTCATCAACCAGCAGAGAGCACTGTTTACACTGCACATGATGTGAAATGCAGGAACAAAGCTGAGCGTGCTTACACCAGTATGGGTTTTCCCGCCACTCTCGATTGCTTCAGCAGGTCAGCGAGAACCTCTTTGACCTCCTTTATCCTCAGCCTGTCGCTGGAGTCCAGCACGAAGATGATCCCGTGGGCCTCTCCACAGAGCTCCCTCCAGGCTCCTCTCGACTCTGCTGATCCTCCAACATCCAGCAGCGTGACCAGGTAGTTCTCCACTCTCAGCTCATTCCTGATGCAGCCGTGGGTGGGCCCTGCGTCTACGCCGTGGGGGACTGGAGCAGGAACACACAGGAGGGTTACTTGTTGCATTTCTGCAATAAGCACTTCAGATAAATCACTGTTCATGTCACTGATGCATTACCTCTCAACATCCCTCTGATGGAGGATGTTTTTCCTGCTTTGTCAAGACCGACCACAAGAACAGTGACTTTCCTGCAGACAAGTAAATACATTATCACATTTAAGCTAAAATAGCATCATATAGCTGTAATTGACAACTGTATACTTTTTAAGCAAATATCAGTGATCTATACATGATGTGTAAATTAACTTTATACAAAAACATCAAAAGAAAAGTAAGTCAGAATATGATCTCTGCACAGAAAGTTTGTCTACTTCCTTAAGAGTTGGAAGTAGTTTTGTTTTACTGTGTAAGTTAGGAAGTAAGTAAGAAATGCAACAGCACAAGAGTTTCATTTGGTCCAATGCTAATGAAGGAGCCTTCATTGTGCTTGTTGTTGCTAAAGTTGACTTAGTTTGGTGGGTTTTTATTCTTGCACGATAAAAATTTAATCGCTGATTATTTTTTAACTCAATACAATAATCGATTTTAATCTCTAATTTCTCAAGAAATGCATTGATGGTAACTGTAAAATATCATAAAGGAATTCAATCAAATCAGCTCATCTTTTGTAGTTTATTTAATGTAAATATATGAGTTTTGCAAAATTTTTGGTAACTGAACATAAAATGTCAAATTATTTTCAGACCACTTCAGAACTTAAAAACACGTGTTCTTGTAACATGAGGTGCTTTTACCTGAAGTAATCGGTTGAATGAATGAACACCTGACAGTGAAATCAACTCTTTGAGTTTATAAGAAACAAAACTACAAGACTTCCCAGGGTCAAATGTTACTCGCACATGGCGGAAACTTACTGTGTGTCTTTTACACAAGGAAAATTAAATTATGATTGTTTCCTTTTATAGTAAATAAAATAGGTCCAATCAGAATCAAAAGTTAGTTCTGAATTCAGTCTGTACAGCCTCACAGATTGTCTTTATTCTGACTCTGGCAGATAATAATAGTAATAATGATGATGATGATAATAACAAAGAATGTACAAGAGGTAGAATCTCTCTAAATTTAGACAATGTAAAGGTAAAGCAAGTCTGTCTGTTTGACTAGTTGATGCAACTCAGTATCTTTATTTTGTCAATTTTACTTGGCTAGTTGCACATTTTCATAACTCACAGGATGACTTTGGACTAATTAACCAACCAAAGTGCAGTGAAGTCACAATTTTAAGCCAGAATTGGAACTTAATGGAACTTAACCTCTAAGATAAAGCAGCTTAAACTGATTTGCAGCCTACCTGATGGGCTCCTGGATTTTGGAGACCCAGTTGCAGCAGTTGCTCATCAGGTTGAACATGTTTACTTGAGGTGAGCAAGGTGTGCACAGTGGCCACCATCTTCTCTGGAACTGGTACCTGCAGACAGATGGTTAAACCTTACTGTGACTCACAAACACAAATAAGACGGGCTGCTTGAGTCACCAGGGGCCGAGTCCAGGTCCAACACAAAGATGCTTTGCGTCTGTCTCCTGCGTGCTTAGGAGACGTTTACAGATGGTCAATCCAGACAATGTGCTCACTGCCAAGAGTCTCTCTACATCCTCAGAATACAAAATTTGCTGTAATCTGGCATTCTGTAGCTCACTAAATTGTATTTTTCATGATGGATGCATGATTAGAAATGTTTCGTTTCAATATTCCCTTATTTTTCTCTCAGTAAGCAGCATCAGTGTTGTCTTGTATGACACAGACAGTGTGTGAGTCATCTCAAAGCTTAATAAAATATGGAAACTATGAGTTCACCGCCTGAGTGTAGCAATACACACACATCAGGTGTGTCTGAGATAGTCGGCCATGTGCTAAAAAAAAACGCAGGCAGATCTTCTGCTCGCTTCTCCAGTGCATCTGTTCAGGCTCTGTAATCTGCTAAAGCCAGTTTAGAATGTCCCGCTTTTACCGTGTTGTTCGCGATCTGACCCACATTTGTTTTGGCTCTAGAAGAGGTCATCACATTTACGCTATAGTGTAAGTAAGGACAGAGTTTTATGCATTTAGAGCAAGTAAAGATAACGTACGAGTTGTGTGCAGCGAGAAAGTGTGAATGTAGATGTGCTTCCTCGTGTGGAGATATACAAAAAAAAAAACTTTATATGTACATTGTAACGTTTGTGAAATACAAAATATTAGTTATTGTTTTTTAGCATTTCAAGTGGGTTTTTTTTGGTACAAATAGATTAACACTGATTAGTAAGATTTTGCTTCATCTAAAATTTAGATTTTTGTCAACGCTTTGTAAAGCACTGTAAACATGTGTCTATATATTTCATTATTATTTTTGTTATCAAAGAGAAAAAGTACAAAATGTTGCACAAAAAAAATGTACACTAAAATTGTAAATCAGCTCTTGCAGTGCAAAAAAACAACATTTAGCAATAAAAGCTTTAAAAGCTCTGCAGACATAAACAATAAAACTCCACTAAACCAACAGTTGATTCTGTTGTATTTCTCTCTAAAAGAAATCTGCTATTTTTAAAATTATTTTTGTAAAAACATCTGAAAACTCTGGCAGTGGTCTACATACACACAGACAATAAGTAAACACGACACATGGTTGGCACAATGCAATGAATCCAAACAAAGTATTTTAAATTTCAAACTAAACAACTAGTTTCTGATATCACTAAATCAACACAGTGCATGTAAAAGACGTAAAATTCCAAAGTTTAACCAGCATTTAGAAGGGTACTTACAGAAGCAAGTCTATGTCCATGCATTTGTTTGGGTGCTCGTCTCTACTAACATCTTGGACCCAGCAGCAACACAACTAATCAGGCTCACACTAAGCCTCTAGTCACCCCATGTGGGAGGTGCAACCTGGGAAATGTTGAATTGGCATTTCGACCAATCCTGGAGTTCTCTGAGCTAACTCCTAATCTCATTGGATGGTTCTCTTCTTTAACTGGACTAAACGAGGATTCTTATATCCGTCCAGGAGACCTAAATGTGTCGTGTGGTGTGATCTGTGACGGCCTATGATCTTCTTTTCTTGCTGAAGTCAGAAAGTGACGGCACAGACCTTTTGTACAGATTTAGGCTGCACAGTTTTAGTCCCTGGGAGGGGCGAGGACACCACCACAACAACAGAGTCACTGTGTTTACAGGTGGAACTGGAACTAAAGCTTATTATAGACCTGTATTTTCTTGTCAGGTGCATTTTGGACTGAATTAGATCAGACAGGATTATAAAATCACTAATAACTGCGTTTTGATGAGGTGTTATTTCTCAGTGGATATTTATTATATTATTATATGCATATATGTTATGCTGTGCATGTGATTTTCTTTATAAAATAGATCCCTTTATTCTATTTCCAGGGTGCCTTTTTAACATCTGGTCAGCGACAATGGATGAAACATGCCTTTGATGCGAACTAGAACTTATTTAGTGCTAAGAAAAAACCCAACAACAACAACAACAAAAACACAAATTCATAAAATATTATTCAGCGTAAAAGGAAGGAAATAAGATGTTATTTGATAGGAAAAGTTTATTTTCAATACTACATTTGATGCACAAGGATGCAAAATATAGATCAACATATTTATCTGTTTCTAAATATTAATTTCCAGCTACTACATTGATTCACTCCAGCATTCACAAAGGATCAGCTCTTCATGTTACATAACGGCATTAATACAATAATTAAGCCCGTCTAACACAATTTGCAATATACCATGAGCCACTAGATGGCCTCGCACTCACAGGATCTGTTCTCCCCGCCGCGCATCATACAGCTCATCTGAACAATGAAATGTTTTTACGTTCTAGTCCGTGACAAGATAAGATGAGTTTCCCTTGAAGCTTATCACTTCATCTTTGCTGAACATACATGTATTCTCAGGCTCTACAGCAGCCGATCCACACCACTGACTGTTTATGTTTATGCAGGAAAATCAAATTAAAAGGCAAACAGAGCAGCTGTGATAAAATTACACATGAATAAATGTTTAGTGACATCTTTAGTGACATCTTTTAGAGACTGGGAGCAGCGGCTTGTGCGCAGGCTTTATCCCATTATGTCATTAAACCAGCGTCCAATCAGGCACTGCCGTCCTCTGCTGAGTAAACTCATCCGAAGCTCTGACCACAGCCATGCGTCAGCTGACACACACACACACACACAAACATAAATGTACATGTACACACACACGGAGCAAAAACAGCAGCACCACGCCCCTATCTGCTGCTCCTGTTCAACACATTGCAAACATGCTTCAAACACCCCCCACTGCTGAACTGGCAGTCTCTGTTATAGTTTGATGACTTTACAGTTTTAACAGTAAAGAAAGAAGTTAGATGAAGAGATCGAAACCACTCATTTCTGTGCGATAAATATGAATCTAAAGGCAGGAGACAGGTAACTTTGCTCAACATAAAGACTGAAAACAGCTCGCCTGGCTCTGTATAAATGAAAAACATACCTGCCCTGAAAGCTAGCTACTTAAAACATTCATATTTTGTATGTTAAGTTGCACAAAATTGTGGAAAAAAGACACGTTGGGGGGTTATGTGCTGCACTATGTAAAGCTCTGGACAGATCCAGGCTAATTGAATCTTGATACTGAGCAACCAACTAGAGATAAGAGCGGTATAAGAAACTGTTCCTTAGTAGTAGTGCAAATGAAAAGGGAGAACACGTAGTTAGCTTCAGTTTGTTGTAAAGAATCTGAATCAGACCAGCAGCGTGCCCTTACACCGACCTGTCTGGATGCTAACACAGTGCACTCGCTGCTTCATAATGAGGTTTCCATCTTCCACCTCCCCATATGCAGTCTGAAGTCACTGACCCAAACTCCTGCTTCACCAAACACATGCATTAATAATGACAAGCCTTTCGCTCATTGTGTCGACCCCCCTCACAATGCCGAGCTCGTGCCACTGACTCAGAGGAGATCTGATTAGGCAGGAAGACGTCGTCCTGTTTGGGGCGAGTTCAGCTGAAACCGGTCATAATGAAGCTTCCTTTGTTATCCTGTAATTGAAGAAGCAATGGCAGCATAGTTACAATCCACTGTTGAAGCTTCTTCCTTATTTACTAAAAATGCCACATGGTTTATTTAAGGTGACACACCACGCCAGCTCTGCCAATGAAAACTTTCGGTGTGTCACTCCAGCCTGTGCCCTTCTCGTGCCCCTAGAAAACAGATCAAACCTGTTTGTGTAAGTAGCTGAGCAAACCAACCGTTCGACTTGTCCCACAGAATGGGAAGGAGCGTTAAAAAACAGTGATAGAGTAAGAAAATCTCTCTGTGAATGAGCAGATTTTAAAAAGCTGATTCAGTGTGAGTGTGGCCTGCACCTGTTCGTGTGGCTGCTCCACTGTCAGGCCCGCAGGTCACCAGAACAAGGCCAGGACCGCCCTGCTGGTGGAAACTAAAAATGGAAGTGCAGAGAAACTGATCTCTGTATGCTCACCCTCTGTAGTGCTTCCATTCGGGCGGGACGGACGCTGTATGCAGTGAAACTACGGTGTGTTTCTCAATGTGCTTTCTCAGATTTCTTATTGGCACTTAGTTTGAGTCCAGAGAGAATGAAGCATGAAGCGGTGTTGGTTGTTGTCTCTCTCATTATCAGTGAATTTCCTAAAGAACTGCACTTATGTAGAAGTACAATGCTAAGTTACTTGTAGAGAGAAATGTCGTACTGTTTACTTCTTCTCGCTTTTACAGCAATTTTAAAAACCTATCATGACATTATGAATGATTCTAAATATAAGTAATCGTTATGCAGTATATTTAGCCACCTTACAGTACATTCAATGACAATAATCAGCTTTACCTCTTTCAGCTTCCATATGTAAAAGCTGCTTGCATGTAATGCATCAGTGATATTCATCCAATAGAATAAGAAGATCAAAATAAACCACTGACAGTTTGTTTTGGTGTGCAATGAGAATGTTTCTGCTTTAAGTACATTTAGCTCATAATGCTTTTACGTAAGTATGGTTTGGAATTGGACTTGTGCTTGTAACTCATTATTTTTATATTGTGGTGTACAATTCTTCCACCACTGATTGTTAGTAGTTATTCCAGATGAACTCTGACCTCCACTTCC